GGCACAGCACCTGCCTGGCAAGCACAAGGTCATGAGTTCGATTCCTAGTACCGGAAAAACAAACAAACAAACAAGAATTACTCACTTGAGAAAAAGTAAAAATAAAAATAAAGAATTACTCACTCGGTCATAAGTGTCCCCTTCCAGTTCTCCCCACTTCCTTCCGTCCCAGGAAGTAACTCGAACTTGATTTCTTTCCCTGATATCTTGAGGCACGTAGCTTTGAAGGACCTTCTGTAGTCTACCTGTCCGAGAAGTGGAGAGATCGTTGGCAGCAAGGTTGCCTGTGGAAATAAAAATATTAGGGCTAGGGATGTAGCTCAGTGGTAGAGCACTTGCCTAACATACACAAGGGACTGAGTTCAATCCCCAGTACTTCAAAAAGGAAAGAAGGAAAGAAGGGAAAGAGGGAGGGAGGGAGGGAGGGAGGGAAGAAAGGAAAAAAAGAAGGCAGGCAGGCAGGCAGGCAGGAAGGAAGGAAGGAAAGAAGGAAGAGAGAGAAAGAAAATATTTCAGAAGCCACAGTCCAATAAAACATCCCATGAGCAATGGTGCTAATGGAGACTCACATTAATTCTCAGGCACAGGCTGTCAATCCAGACCTCATCAACAGGGAGTTTTATTATGTACATGGCATCAAATCAACTCTCTGGAAAGTAGGTTGTCAGGGCAGACACCTATAGGGCACATCCACCAGAACCTGCTGGCCAAGAAAGGCTAAGTACATAAAGCAGGCCAAATAAGAATATTTTTAAGGAAATATGCTCTCTTCTACCCTTTTTTTTCTTAGGTTTTGGTTTGTTGAGACAAGATCTCACTATATAATTCAGGCTGGCCTTGAACTCCAGGTGATTCTCCTGCTTCAGCCTTCCAAGTGCTGGGATTACAGGTGTCAGCCAACACTCCTGGCAAACCCACTATTCCTGAAACATTCTCTCTTTTTTGCAGCGTTCAGGATTAAATTCAGGGCCTTCACACTGAACTACATCCCTAGCCCTTATTCATTTTTATTTTGAGACAATGCCTTGCTAAATTGCACCAGGACTAAATTTGCAGTTCTCCTGCCTCAGCCTCCTAAAGGCATGCACCCAGCTTCATTTTGTATTTTTCAACAGACAATTCAAGAAGGATCTCACAGCTGATACTCAGTCTAAAAGCAACAGGAGAGGTGGAACTGGAGAGTATACCTATACCTTATGTAACATGAACCAGTTTAATGTCCCTGCAGAGAATGTCCCAAATTTCTTCTTTTCTTTCTCTCAGCACTGAGGATTGAAACCAGCCTTTGCGCTAAGCTACATATCCACCCTTTTTAAATTTTTATTTTGAGATAAGATCTCATTAAATTCCTAAGTTGACTGAGCTGGCCTTGAACTTGCAATCATTCTGCCTCAGCTTTCCAGAGTGCTAAGATTAGAGATGTGCCCAGCTAGAAATGTCCCAATTTTTTAAGGCACTCAACAATGTAAAAATCAGATTCTCTGCTCTGGAGGAATTATCAGGAGAAAAAAAAAAAAGATAGGTTACAGTTCTGGCTCTACTTCTAACTGTTGTAAAATTTAAGTTTTATAATCTCACCAGAGTTGTTTCCCCCACTTATAAAATAGGAGGGCTGGACAAGGTAAACTCTTAAATTTTTCTTGCATTAAAACTCTGTGGTCCTGTCTGCCTAGGATCAGGAAGTCAGTCACTTGGGTGAGGAGCCGGAATGAAAGAGAGGTGCTGGTAACGCAGCGACTCTCAATTCCACCTCCCTTCTACCCCTTTTCTCTCCTCTTAGCTCCTTTCTCCAGTTCCAAGTAACCTTACCCTCGTCTCCCTTCAGAAGGATCCTACAGCACTCAGGCAGAGCAGCACAGCCTGGCACACACACTGGGCTCCCCTTCATGGGGTGTTTGCATCTTTTCTCCTCTCTCTGGACTTCTAGAAGCCTGAGACTAAATCTGATTGCTCTCTGAACCAGCTGTGGGCCAACAGTGAGGCTGGAGGTTAACTTGAACTGTGCAAGATGGCTGATAAGAACTGGAATAGAAGGATTCACGGCCAACAGAAAGGCTGAGGCACATGGCAAGAGAAACCTGGCAGAGCTCCAGGTTTTTTTTAAATCACAGCCCTTTGCGCTACTTCTCAGATCCCCCCAAAAAAACTGTGTGCTTTAAAAAATTGTGTACAGCCCCAGTAGCCTAATGAATAAGGCACTGGTCTCCTAAAAAACTGTGTACACAATAGATATTGTAAAATGGGAAGAAACTGTTCAAAAGGCAAGAGAAACTGGGATGGGGGACAGGAGAAAAAAAAAAAATATATATATATATACACACACACACACACAAAATAGTTAAGATATACTACTAATTTCTCTTAGTTCACTGAAAAGAAAGGTTTGGGCTAATAGTGTTTGGACAGTTAAATGCCTATATCTCTTACTCTGAATAACTAATTTGGAGATGCAATACACAATGTATTAACCATTGCTACCCTCCTATTATCTTGTTTTGAATTTTTTTTCTTTAAAAAAAAAAAACAACCAAGGAACAGTATTTTAAGGCAATGTGTTGGCCAGTAGACAGCTGAGGTGAGCATTTGCAGTGCAGAAGGCCAGGCTCTCCAACTAAGATAAATAAGACTTGGGTTGAGACTGGGGCCGTAGCTCAGGGGTAAAATGCCTGCCTAGCATATGGATAGTTCTGAGTTCAGTCCCCAATAATGGGGAAAAAAATACCAAAGTCCCCAAGAAATTCATAATCTTTTTATTTATTTATTTATTTTGAGACAGGGTCTCAGTACATAGTTCAGGATGGATTGGAACTCACTATGTAGCTCAAGCTGGCTGCAAACTTTAGGGCATCCTCCTGTCTCAGCCTCCCAAGTGCTAGGATTACAGACATGCACCACCACACCCCGCTTAGAAATTCATAATCTTGAAGAGGGAAAGATCCGTATCTAGTAAAGCTCTGAGGTAAAGGTAATGGTTAACAGTTGCAAGGGTGGTGCTCATGATGTGGGAGCACGGAAGGGGGGTCACTTCTGAATTGGCCTGAGAAAAGAGTTCCTGGAAGTAGCACCCTGGAGCTGAGGTTAGAAAGCTTAAAGGATTTCGACAACCCAGCTTGGGTGGGCTGGGGGAACTCTACAGAGACTGTAACAGGAGCAAAGCCTTATTCAGCCAACGAAGAGGAGCAGGGTGTGGCCGAAGCACATAAAGCCTGGGAAAGAGTGATACACAAACCTCTAAGTGGGGCTTCAACCCAATCTCTCTGTGTTAGCGGGCAGGCCAAGATAGTAAGACTTAATCTTAAGAGACAAAGCAAACACATGCAATGGGATGAAAGGGTCATGTAATGAATTGGAGTTTGCTTTCATCTGCCTTCAGAGGCCTTGCTCAGCAATGTTCCTTGACCAGCTGACAGAGAAAGAGCGGCAATAACTGCAAATAAAAAATACACACAATTTAGCAAGCAAGAACTAGTTCCTCTCTGACCTTGGGACCAGAAAGCTCACCATATGCAGTACGACTCGGTGAGGTAAGGAGCCATCCCTGCCCAAAACATCCATGCCCTCACTTACGGCAACAGAGAGTCTGAAGCAATGCTAGTGTCTTTCCCCCAGGGGCCGCACACAGGTCAAGCACAGTGTCCCCGGGGTGAAGGCCAAGAGCCAGGACAGGTAGCAAGGAGGCAGCATCCATCAGGTAGTAGTCCATAACACCCAGGCTGCCAAGTCTGCAAAAGAGATCACCTTGATGTTAAATCCCAGTTCAGGACACCCACTGGGAGGCAACGCCACCAAGTCCACGCTCTCAGGGGCCACTGAGCTCCACTCAGCAAAACTTGATTTTTCAGACTCACACTCAATTATTCTGTCCCTCATTCCCTCATCTACACAGTGTCCTGGGTGAACCAGACACCCAGGACACCCAGTGTCCTGGGTGAAAACAGATCAAGCTGGGTATTGTGGCACATACCTGTAAGCCCAGTGCTCTGAGAGGATGAGGGAAGAAGACTGCAATTTCAAGGCCAGACTGGACAACTTAGCAACTTAGCAAGACCATGTTGCAAAATAAAAAATAAAAAAGGGGTGAGGACAGAGCTCAGTGTGTAGGCCCTGGATTCAATCCCCAGTACTATCCAAAAAATAAAAAATAAAAAAAAAAAAATCTGTTCAATCTAGCCACACCAGCCACCTTGCTATTTTTGTCTCAAATCTTGAGATCAGGCAGTGGAAATGCCTGCAATGGGCCTTCTGCCTGCAACACTCTTCCTTCAAACATCCCTATGTGTTTCTTCATTTCTCTCAGTCTCTTCTCAAAAGTTACCTCATCAGAGTGCTGGCATTCCCTGACAACTCTTATTTAAAATAACAGCCCTTATTCCATTACCTTCTATGACCCTACCTGCTTTATATGTATTTAAAGCGCTTGTTATTCATGTTTTGTTTGGTTTTGGTACCAGGAATCGAACTCAGGACCTTGCACTTGCCAAGCAGGGGCTTGTGCCACTGAGCTATATCCCCGGCCTGTTATTCATGTTATATGTACAGATGTTTGTGTTTTTTGTTTCTCTGTCTTGCTCTATTACAATGTTAACTCCATGACAGGAGGGATTTTGTCTGCTCTTGTCATTATAACATCCCAAACTCCTGAAACAGTGCCTGGTACAAAGTGAGAACTCAGTTTTACTGGGTTACATAATGAGATACAAAGTGCTTTACAGATTCAGAGAAGGGAAGGAAACAGAGTTCTTCATTAAGTAAAAAGAGAAGAGGAACATTTTAAGTGGAAGAAAAAAGAAAAAGCCAGGCACACAAACATACAAATTCATACCTTCTGTCAGAATGTCATTGATAAATCTGGTGTGGCAGAAATATAAGATGAGTGAAGATTGAAGCTGGAAAGCAGACTGAGGTCTTAAACTGTACACTATGGCGTCTGGACCGAAAGCTTTTATGGAAAATAACCCAACTAGACAGATCTGAGCTTTAGAAAGCTAGGTAAGCTACAGACAGAGAGATACCAGGTAGGAGGTATGGGCAGAAAGGGAGGGATGATCAACAATAGCCCAACCCTCACAGAACTGGCTACTTGTAGGACAACTGTCTTAAGGCCAGTTGGTGATGAGCTGCATTTCCACTGCCTGAGATAGCTTAGCCTTGGGAACAGATCAGAGACAGAAACCCTTACAGAGAGTACAGAGGGTCTGGGAGAAGGATGTGATAAAACACTGCGCCACTCATGGTCAATTACAAAAGCTACAATGGCCAGGCCCCAGGCTGCAACATCCCAAGCATTCACCAACAGGCTCAGGTTGTGATAGGGTAATTTATTTTCTTTCTTTTTCTTTCTTTCTTTCTTTCTTTCTTTCTTTCTTTCTTTCTTTCTTTCTTTCTTTCTCTTTCTTTCTTTGCTTTTCTTTCTTTGCTTGCTTTCTTTTTTTGTTTTTTTTATCTTTTGAGACAAGGTCTTTCTTTTTTTTTTTTTTTTTTGGTCTTTTGAGACAAGGTCTTGCTGGCCTGGAACTCACAGCAATCCTCCTGCCTCTGCCTCCCTAGTGCTCCATTTACAGGCATGTGCCACCATGCCCAGCTAGGATATTTTCAAAGTCAAACAACACTTAAGAGTATCTGTGCCTCATGCCTCACAAAGAAGAATAACAAAAGCACTGCAAAATCTGAGGAAGGCACAGGACTGTTACCATACCACCACTACACCATAAAAGCTATCCTCAACCACCTCTTCTGTCCCTCCTTAAAATTTTTGGTTTTTGAGAGTCTGCTAAATGCTAGTGTTTCTAAAAAAGCACAATTTCAGAGGATTCCTAGAGTCCCTGCATACATCCCTGAGAACTGAAAATATCAGATATCTGGGAGTTTAGGGGAAAGGACAAGCCACCTCCACAAATCTGCCATCATTGCTCACTTTCTTTACTCTCTCAGGGTAACCCTCCTGAGCAGGAACCCCTGGAATCAGTGTCAAGCACCTCAAGAAACTATGAGACCACATGGTTTTTACTTTGTGGTTCTACCTAAAGTCAGTGCCTCAGTATTGGTCTCTAATCTTGGTACCATCTATCTGCACATACACAGCAATTAAAGGAAGCTTCCTAAGCATAACTCTGATGAAAATACCATCAATTGTAAAAGGTGCTACTGATGAGTACTATATTTCAAGCACTATTATCTTCCAAATAATATACACGTTTAGTATATGTTATTTTTTTTTTTGTTTGTCTTTTTGAGACCGGGTCCTGCTATGCAGTTCCAGCTGGCCTTGAGCTTACTTTGTAGCGCAGGATGGTCTCAAGCTCGCAACAATCCTCCTGCCTCAGCCTCCCAAATGCTGGGATTACAGGCGTGTGCCACCACACCCAGCCCATAAATTCATTTAATCTGTGCCACAGCATAATGAAACTGATAAACCCAGGTTCCAGAGCCCCACTGCCTGAATCTCAAATCCAATCCAGTTAACTCATCAGCTGTGTGACTTCCAGCAAATTACTCAATTTCTCTACCCCTTAGTTTTTCCATCTGCAATAAGAGTACTTTGTAAAATAAGACTACTATAAGAATTAAAGGGCCAGGTGTGGTGGCACACACCTGTAATCCCAGCACTCAGGAAGCTGAGGCAAGAGGATCACCAGTCTGGGCTACATACACAGTGAAACCCTGCTTCAAAAAACCGAAAAATAAAGCGCTTAGAGGGCCAGAGATTTAGCTCTGCAGCACAGCGCCTGTCTGGCAAGTGTGAGGTTGTGAGCTCAATTCCCAGTATCAAGAAAAAAAAAAGTGCTTAGAATAATAGGTGATACACAATAAGCTATCCTGTTACCTATCACTATTATCTTCCAAATAATAGTACTATTATCTATCTACTATTATTTTCAGATAAGGAAACCAAGGCTCAGTAAGCAATACCACTCGTCCAACAGATGGTAAAGACAGTACACAAATCTAGGTTTGCATGACTCCAAAGTTTATGCCGATAACCACTGTGTGCTACTGCCTCTCATTTGCTTAGAATGACCTTTTTGGTGATTCACTAAAACAAATCTTGGCAATTACCGCAACAGGTACTGAAGAACACATGGTCTAAAGCCATCCTGCGTGGCAACCCCAGCTACCTGAAAGCAACTCATAATCACCAGAGAAATCCCATTCCCCCAATGTGTAAGCTCCTGGCATCCAAGATTCCTACACACAGCCCTTCCATATACTTTTCCAGCCTCATCTTTCATTCCCTTCTCAGGTCAATAGCCAGGGCACTTGTAAAACCCTCCTAATTTATATCCTCATTTCCATTCCTATCTTTCCACAATCTGTTTTGTACACCACAGCCAGAGTAATATTTTAAAAACTCAAATCTGGTCATGTCATTCTCCAACTTAAAACCTTTCAGGCTTCCTCTTACTCTCAGAGAAAAAGTCCTAGAATTTCACAAGACTTACCAGACCTTCCATATCTGGCTCCTTCCAAGCTATGGCAGCCTCCCATTTATGTTTAGTCTCTCTCTGATCCCATTCTCATAACATCAGCTTTACTTTAGTGTGTGGGTCTCACTTTAAATTTCAAAGACAGACAGACAGACAGAAAGAAAGAAAACAAAAGGAAGGAAAGAAAGTCAGCCAGCCAGCCAGTCAGGTGTGGTGGTGTACACTTGTCATCCCAGCACCTGAGAGGCTGAGGCAGGAGAATAACCCTGAGTTCGAGGCCAGCCTGTGCTGTATAGTGAGTTCAAGGCCAGTCTGAATTACATAGTGAGACCCTATCTCAAAAATACACATGTACACAAAATTCACATCCCCAGAAAAAACTGGGTTCAAAAAAAAAGAGAAAGAAAAAACTGGATTAAACCTCCTAATAATTCAAGACCTTGTGGCATTTTATATTTTTCATTTGTAGCACTTAACATAATTATAAATCATTTCTTAGTATCTGTCTTTCTCATTGGACTAGAGCTCCATGAGGGTCTATATACTACTAACCCACACACTTAAATGTCTGGCATTTGACAGACAATAAATGTCAAATGAAATCAATGAAGCCTTCAAAGTCAATTCCCAGTTGAGTTCAGCGGGGTCTATCTAAAATCCCAATACTACGGGAGGATGAAGCAAGAGAATCAGTTTGAGCCCAGCATGGGCAACTTAGCTAGACCCTGTCTCAAAAAATAAAAAGGGCTGGGGACTAACCAGTGTGAAGGCCATGGTTTCAATCTCTAGTACTACAAAAAATAAAACAAAAAATCAAGTCAGGAGTGGTGGCTAATTCCTGTAATCCAGTACTTGAGAGGCTAAGGCAGGAAGATTGCCATTTCAAGGCCAGCCTGGGCTACATAGTGAGATCCTGTCTCAAAAAAAAAAAACAAAACAAAACAAAACCATTTCCACATCCTACAACTAACATTGCCCTTCAATTCAAAGCCTAGGTCTAAATACCAGCTGCACCTGGGTCTAAATACCAGCTGCACCACTAACTGAACAACTTAAGGCAAGTAAGTACCTTAGCTTCTCTGCACCTTAGTTTCCCCAAAGGTAAAACAGAGCATAATATTAGCTACTTTTCTGACTGTTGACAGAAAATGAGACAACACAGGTACAGCACTTAACATAAATACCCAGCCCGCAGACACACACCAGAAATCTTAACCACGATCCTTATTACAGAGGCCAGGAGCTAGGTCTCTTCAGTCTGCTTCCAACAAGCACTCAGGACAGCCCCAGCCACGGCTCTAGATCCTACCTGGCAGGAGGAAAGCGGCTGACATCCCCTCTGGCAAAAGTGAAGCACCGAAGGTTTGGACTATAGGCTAGGGGTGGGGTTGAAGAACGACCACTCTGAGCTTCCAGTTCCCAGTGGGAGACGGCTTCACTCACAAAGTCCTTGGCACTCAGCTGCTTCAGCTTAGCACTTACATGATCCCAGGCAGCAAAATTATTGACCAGTGCACCATACTTCTGCTCTGAGAGGAGACTGACTCGGATAGATGGCCAAAGATCCCCAAACTGCACACTGTAGGTCATGTCAAAATTCTGCAGAGCCAGTCGACTGGCAGGTAATTTGGGTTCTGTGGCAGCCTAAAAGAGAAAAAAGGAAGGCTTACTGATCTTCCCATTCTTGCCTCTGACCTCACCAAAACCTCAGAGCCAAGAGGCAAACTCAGAATAGGGTATGTCCACTCCTGCCTTTGCATTCTGCTTCTGCCTGCCACAGAACTGTGGTAGAAGAAAGTAAGGAAGAGGGCCGGGCACGGCAGCACATGCCTGTGATCCCAGCAAGAGGAGGCAGAGGCAGAAGAATCACCATGAGTTTGAGGCTAACCTGGACTACACAGTGAGTTCAAGGCCAGCCTGAATTACAAGACCCTGTCTCAAAAAAACAAAACAAAACAAACAAACAAATAAGTGGGGCGGAGGGAACATAATGAGGGGCTGGCCTTTCCATCTCAGGATTATGAAAGGAAGGTAGACCTCTCACAGTAACCATGTGTGTGGGTGGGAGGGAGCTCATCAGGAAGGAGTCTTGGAATGGAATATCAGTGTTAGAGCATTTACCTAGCACAAGTGATGCCCTGGGTTTCACCCCCAGCACTGTGAAAGGCAGGGAGGGAGTCCTGCAGCGAGAATTTAAGAGAATGAAAGCTCAAGAGAAGACTCCAGAGGAGAGTCTGAAGAAGGCTGGAAGAGACTACAGAAGCACTAGGAAAGCTTTAGGCTTTAAAAAGAAAAAAAAAAAAAAAAAAAATGCTCTGCCTAGAAACAGCCCTTCTATTTTCCAAAACCTGTTTGTGTCTACTAGCTTATGTGAATACAAGAAAAGTGTTCAGTAGGATACAAAAAACAAAACAAAAACTACCATATGTGATGGAGAAATGAGGGTAACTTACCTAAGATCATACAGTGAGTAGCAACATAAGGCTCAGAATCATAAGGTTGAGAGTTGTTCTGGGACAGTTCCCAGGCCCCAGGAGGAAGATAAGGAATAAGGAGGGCTCAAAGTCTTGAGGTGTGAACCAAAACAAGAACTTCTGGAATGACTGCTATGGGGATAGTGGTTAGGCACACAAGTCAGGCCTGAAAAGCACAAAGGTAGATTAAAAGGGAAATGAAGACTTCACATGAGTACTGTAGTCCACAATCTGGTCCTGGCTGCCACAGCTGGAATGCTTGCTACCACTGGCAGTCTTGTTACTGTCTGTACTTTTGCTCTTGCGTAGATTTTTGGTCTTGTAAGAATTTCTGCTCTCATTTCTTCTTATTTTGGGGACTCTTGCTGTGCTTCCTACTCCTACCAGGAGTCTTGCTCCGGCCCTGGCTTTTACCATGCCGGGGACTCTTGTTGCGCTTCCGACTTCTGCCACTATGAGAACTCTCACTCTGCTTCCGAATGACGACCTGGTGAGGACTACTGCTCCGGCTCCTACTTTGGCTGTGGTGAGAGCTCTTGCTCCGGCTCTGATTTCTGCTTTGGCTCCGACTTTCGCTTTGCTGGCTGCTCTTGCTGTCACTACTCTGATATTCACTCACAATGGTTGAACTACAGCTTGGATTATTACTGCTACAGGTTGAGCTTTTGGGTGAAGGCAAAGGGCAGCTATAGGGGACCTGGGCGGGCTCTTTGCAGGGATCTTGACAGGCCACAGAGTAGGTATGAAGGCCACAGGGCATATTATCAGGGTAGGGCCGAACTCGGGGGAAAACAGGTAAACACTGGGGGTCAAAGGGTGTTCTCAGAGGGATAAAAGAATAGATGTGGGTAGAACAAGGAGGCATCACAGGTTTGCAAGGTGGTAGGGGTGGGCCCCTGGGAGCACCATAGGTACCACAAGGGGGTACTACAGGCTGGTTATGACACTGAGGGGACTTTGTAGAGTGAATGAGGGAACTAGAGGGTGGACAGGGATTAGAGGTGGGGGGAACCACAGAATACATATGGGTATCGCAGGGTGATACCAAGGAGGCTCCATGCGGACTGCTCTTACCATAACTATTGGGTAAGACAGGATCACAAGGGTCACAGAGAGGAAGAGAAGTAGGGAAAACTGGTTTGATGACTCCAGGGACCATACTGGGTAAGGGAGTATCTGGGGGAAGTTCTTTGGTACAGCAATTTGAAGGAGCTGTGATGGATGACTCCATACCAGGACCAGAGATGCCAGGGGGCTGACAGGGAGGCAGAGGGGAGGTGCTGGCCTTAGGGGGCTTGGGCTGTCCAGAAGTGTTTTGGGCAGTGTTGACTAGGGAGCGGCACTTGTGGGGTGTACGTAGCTGTCTTACATCTGAGGATTTGGGGGACTTTGCATGGGGGGAAACTGGAGTAGGGAGAGGGGGTTCATTATAACTTCTTCGGAGAACTGTCTGTGGTGGAGCTATAAATTGGTTGCCAAAGGGTGAAGGGAAGTAGGGGTCGGAATAAGGACTGTGGGAAAGAGGTGGTTCTGGAGGACAGGGGGGACCAGAAATCATGGTGCCAGGGGTTAGGAGGAGGTAAGTGCTCCCACTAGTCCCCCAGGAAAGAAAGGACTCAAGGCAAGACTTCTTGGGAGCCTGGAACTGGGGTGAGCAAGAAGAACCAGTATTCTCAGGGAGCAGGCGGATGGCACAGTAAGGGCTCCCAGGGGCAGATATGTGGGCCGCTGAGGAAATATGGGAGTAAGGAAAAGAACCCTCCTGAGGTGACCTGGGGGAGCCAGAGATGCCTGCCTGAGGAGAAAGTGAGGAGCCACAATTTTTGCCAAGGGGCACATCAAGCTGTGGTTTGGGTTCACAAGAGTCTGAAGGCTTATGGTGGTCAGGGCAAAGGCTGTCAGTAGGTCGGGAAGAGGCTGAAGGAGGAGGAGGAGGAGGAGGAGGAGGATCATTATAACTCCTCCCTGAGGAGCAGTGAGAGTCCAGAGGGGAGTTCACAGGCCCAGTTTCCAAAACCCCATGAGAAAGCGTTGTGGAAACTACAGGTCTAGTTTCCATGGGCCGATGAGCAAGTAGAGGTGAAACTGGAAGTACAGTTCCCAGGGGCCTATGAGTAAGAGGAGGTGAAATCATGGGACAAGTTCCCTCAGACTCCGCAGTGAGAGGAGGTAAAATTATGGGACCAGTTTCCAAAGGAATGTGAATGAGCTGCGGAGAGGTCACCGGGCTGGTTCCTGGGGGCTGAGTGATGGATGTGACGGTCACCGGACTATAGTAATAAAGGTAACTGTGCTGGTCAAAGACCGAGTTTGGAGGACAAGGACGCTGCATTCTTGGGGTACTGGCCAAACTGCAGTAAGGGTTCCGCTGACGGTGAGGGGGTGGCCCCGGAATGCCTAACCGACCAAGACAAGGGCTTGTAGGGGATAAACCAGGGAGTCTGGGCCCCTGGCCACAGGGCCTTCCAAGGAGTATGGGAGAACAGGGTTCAAAAGAACTCTGTGGGAGCGAGGAAGGAGCTGGTGGGGGTGGGGAGGGGATTCTTCGAGGTACACCGGGGGACTTGCCAGTGAGGCAAGATGAAGGGTCTCTGGGGTGAGGGAGGTCGGTGCACTTTTTGCCTATCTTTGGGGAAGGGTTGACAACATGCACAGGGTGGTCGCTGTAACCTTTCCCCAGCTCAAGGGTGAGGACGGGGCTGAATCCTTTTCCACAAGGCGGAGGAAGAAGGAAGGGGTCGTCGCTAGGACACTGTCCGTGGGGTGCAGGCAACTGGGCTGAAAGTTTGAAAAAAGGAGAAGTCATGGAGGACCAGGGTAGGAGAAAAGGGGAGGGAAAGAAAGGGGAGGGAGGGGAGAGGGAGGAAAAGGGAGGGGAGACAGGAAGGGGTAGTGGGGGCCGAGGGAAAGGTAAGCACCAGGAAGAGGTGGGGACTTAACGGAAAGAATGGGGCGGGCGATGACGTAATCAAGGGGGCGGAGTCGGGCGGCAAACGTTTCAGGAAAAGGAGACAGAGACTTGTGACGAGTAAAAGCGCAGACGGAGCGGTGACCTGCAGACGTAAGTCGGCGACACTCTCTGAGGAGCGCGAGAAAAAAATGCAGAGGCACTCTAATGGGGCAGAAGTAATGAACGCTACCGAGGAGGGAGAAGAAATGTAACCGGAAGAGCTGCCCACTTACACCGCTAGCTAGACCTTACCCATTTCTTCTTATGTCGATGTCTCCGCGGTACCGGCGCGAAGTCCACAAGCCTCATCAGCTCACGAACACCCCTCAGTATCGGCGCAGCCATGTCAGAGTGCGCCGCTAGGTAACTCCGGGAGGATCCGCGGCCGATGCGCCTCAGGTTCCGCGATGGTGCGCGCGCAGGTTCGAAGGCGGAGCACGGAAAAGGGGGCGGGGAAAGAAGGGAATTACGCCTCTGACGCTCTCCCTGGGTCCCGCCCAGCTCTATACACCCGGGGCAGCCCCGCCCCGCCAGGATTCTGTCTAGGGGCTGGAAAACCGAAAGATCTGGCGCCCAGCCCCGGCTCCTAGGTGCTTAGAACAGTGTGAGGGTCTCCTAAAAGGCCGCTTTTCCAGGGAGATCAGAATACTGGGAGATGGTGGTTCAGTACTGAGGGAGCTAATTAGGGAAAACAGACCCTATAGAAAGAAATGGCACACATTAGTTCCTGAGGTATGAAAAAATTCCACCAGACTTGTGGGCAGAGGCAGATTTGCAGTTAAGCTAATGAAGCCTAACTTTCAGGACGCGCAACTTCATTTTGTATTATCTTTCTGAAAGAGCCTCTCAAATTATGCATACTGTAGGCGCCAGGACACTTGTCTCCACCACTGGGATGTTAACAGGTAAGTGTTTTTATAAATTATCATCTGACAGTTGATGATCACCATGCCTGGCAATGTTAGGAAACTTTTTTTTTTTTTTTTTGTCTTTTTGAGACAGGGTCTCGCTCTGCAGTTCAGGCTGGCCTTGAGCCCACTTTGTAGCCCAGGCTGCTCTTGAACTCGCAACGATCCTCCAGCCTCAGCCTCCCAAGAATGTTAGGAAACTTTTAAGCTCACAATGGTAGGTATAAATTTTTCAAAGTCCTAATTTTTGTTTGAAAGTTTGAGTTTCATCACTGGCAACAAATGCTGTCAATTATTTTCCTTAAGGTAACAGGTTCACTTTATTCACTTTCAAAAAATTCTAGTACATTAAAATACAATTGATTTTGTGTATTGATCTATCCTTACACCTTGCTAAATTTGATTATTACTTTTGGTAACTTTTTTTGGAAATCTCCAGATTTTCATATGCATGTTTTTTCTTTTGTATATAAAAACACTTTTACTCATTTCTTTTCCACATAACTTTTTTGTTTTTGTTTTTGAGGCAGAGTCTCACTGTGTAGTCCAGGCTGGCCTTGAACTCACCATGTAACCCAAGCTGTCCACAAACTCACAGCAGTTCTCCTGCCTCAGCCATCTCAGTGCTAGGATTACAGCCACACCCAACTACTCCGTAAGTTTTTTTTGCTTTATTCCACTGGCTAGGACTTTTAGTACACTGTTGAATACAAGTAGTCATAGTAGACATCTTTACCTTGTTCTCATTCCTAGGAGGAAAACATTCAGTATTTCATTTCACCATTACATAAGATAGTTGTAGTTATGTGTATACAGATGTCCTTTACTAGGTTGAGGTGCCCCTCTATTTCTAATTTAATGATATTTTTAAAAATCATGAATGATTTTTTCTTTAAATGTTTTTATTCAATTATTGAGAGGATCATATAGTTTTTCCTTATTCTGTTTTGGTTTGGTTTTTTGTCTTTTTGAGACAAGGTCTTGCTATGCAGTTCAGGTTGGCTTTGAACTCACTTTGTAGCCCAGGCTGGTCTGGAACTCACAATGATTCATACTGGTTTTTGTAATAATCAGCTTTCTTGTCACTGATACGTAAAACTCAGCACCCACAATTAAAAGGAGAGATTTCATTTGCTTACAGTTCAGTCTGTGATCGGCTGGTCCCATGCAGACATCATGGTGGAAAGCTACTTCATGTGGCTGGGAAGCAGAGCAGGGGAAGAGTGCAAGAGCAGAACAGGCAAGGGATCAACCCTCTGTGACCCACTCAGACCTACCTAGAAAAGTGCCCCATCAGCCCCCAGTAGGGATCGCAAAGCCAATCAAGTTGAAATTCCATTTTAAACACCAGTATATTTTTGTAGTGATGAACCGGTTTACATTTCTATGGAAAACACATTAGCTAGGCTCGTAATCCCAGAATTCTGGGAGGCTAAATCAGGAGATACACAAGTTTGAGACTAGCCTGGCCAATGTAGTGACTTAGTGAAACCCTCTCACTCAAATTTTAAAAAAAGGCAGGGCACTGGACTTGGTAACACAAGCCTGTGTTACCATGAGTGTTATCTCAACACTCAGGCGGCTGAGGCGGGAGGATGGCTGCCAAGTTCAAGGCCAGCCGGGGGTACACAGAAAGTTCCAGGCCTGTCTGAACTATAAGGCAAGACCTTGTCTCAAAACGAAACAAAAAAGGAATAAAAATAAAAAAGACCAGGGCATGTGGGCCAGTGTGAAAGACCTGAGTTCAATCTCTAGTACTGAAAATAAACAACATAAAAAGCACATGAATTCATGATTCTTCTGGCAATACTAGGTATGAAACTTACGGGTACTCTACCACTGAGCTCTATCACTCGTCCTTTTTATTTTTTAGACAGGGCCTTGCTAAATTGCCTAGTCACACTTGCCTCAGCCTCAGCCTCTCAGAGTACCAGGATTACAGGCATGTGCCACTGTGCCAGGCCATGATACATTATTTTTATATATCGCTGGATTCTTGTATCTGAAGGATTTTTTGGCTTGGGGTTTGTTTGTTGTTTTTTGTCTCTTTGAGACAGGCTGGTCTTGAACTCACTTTGTAGCCCAGGCTGGCCTCCCAACTCACAAGTCTTCCTGCTTCAGCCTCCTAAGATTACAGGCATGCGCCACCACGCCCAGTTTGTTTTGTTGGTTTTTTTGGAGACAGGTCTCAATATGTAGTTCAAACTGGCTTTGAACTCACTATGTAGCCCAGGGTGGCCTCAGCGGTGATCCTCCTGCCTCAGCTCCTAGAGTGCTGGGATTACAGGCACACACCACCAACTAGCTCTTGCATCTGTATTCATGAGTGATGTTGGCCTGCAGTTTTCTTTTCTTGTAATATCTTTGATTTTTTTTACTCAGGTTACAGCCTCATAAAATGAGTTTGGGAAGTGACCCTTTGCTTCTGTTCTGAAAGAATCTGTGTAAGATTGGCATTATTCCTTCCTCAAATAATTGTTAGAAATCAACAATAAAGCCATGTGAGCCTGAAGATAGGTGTTCTGTTTTGTTTCTTTTCCTGGGGCGGGGAGGAAGAGGGCACAGAGGAATGGCAAATTTTTAATTATTAATTCAGCTTCTTCAGTTGGTATGGGCCAGTGGTTCTAAATCAGAGGTGATCTTGTACCTCCCTCAGAGTGTTTGGTAACATCTGGAGATATCTGAAGTTGTTGGAACTGCTTCTAATTCTTCTTGTATGACTTCTGACAATTTTAGTCTTTTAAAGAATTTGTCCATTTTCACTTCAGTTGTCTTCACATGAAGGTGTTCAGAATATTCTATTATTGGGCTAGAGATATAGGTCAATGGTAGAGCACTTGCCTCTCATGGATGAGATACTAGGTTCCATCCTCAGTACTGAAAAAAAAAAAACCTCCAACAACACTTCAGAATATTTCATTAACACGACCACCACCACCACCTTTTTGCAGTACTGGGGATGGAACCCAGGGCCTCACACATCTCACACATGCTAAGAAAGTATTCTACCACTAAGCTACATCTTCAGTCCCGTGTGTGTGTATGTGTGTGTGCGTAAAAAATGACACGAGATTGGGGCATGGCAAAGTTGGCTGGGGAAGTCGGCATTACTTGTTAATTACATGATCCTGGAACACATTTCCATGAACTTGAGCAAGATTTCAATAGGATGGTCTGGACCTAATGTCAACCTGAAGCATGGGATCCCAGCACTGCTTCTCAGGACCCGGATGTACAGCTTCTCACAGGTGTCTTCACAATGGCCTGCCCTGTGTCCTCCAGGGTATACTTTTATCTTGCTTTTTCCTCTCACTTGGCCCAAGGGCACTCTGCAGAGCCAGTTTCTCCCTCAGTCTTCACTTTTACTTTTACTTTTTTTTTGAGACAGGGTCTCACTATGCAGTTCACGCAGGCCTTCAACTCACTTCATACCCCAGGCTGGCCTTCAGCTCACAGCAACCCTCCTGCCTCAGCCTCCTAAGTGCTTTGAATTATAGGCATGTGCCGCATCCCTGGTTTACAATTACTTTTTAAAATAAACTTTGTTACCACTTTTTGCTTGTTTCATTCACTTTTTGTTCAAGACAAGAAGAACCTGGAATCCAACTCCAGAAAGAAATACCAGCATCACCAAACCTGGTAATGTTGGGGCTAGGGATATAGCTCAGCGGCACAAGTGCCTGCCTGGCAAGTGCAAGGTCCTGAGTTCAATTCCCGGTACCTGCCCCCGCCACAAAAAAAAACCTGGTAATATTTATTTAGTAAGCCACTTTTAGGGATATCTGGTAAGAGTACTAAGGACTAAATCTGAGGCCTTGGTCTTGCTCTGCCTCTGAGCTACATTGCAAGACTTTTTAAAAAAATGTTGCTGTTACCTTAAATTTGAGATCTTCCTGCCTCAGCCTCCTAAACAGCTGTAATGACAGATACGTGCCACAGTGCCTGGCTCATTATTAACCCCTGCTTTTTTTGTTTTGCCTTTTTGAGACAAGGTCTCACTATGCTGTTCAGGTTGGCTTTGAACTTTGTAGCCCAGGCTGGTCTTGAACTCATAACAATTCTGCAGCCTCAGCCTCGAGTGCTAGGATTACAGGCATGTACCACCACAACCAGCCATACCCTTTTAATATCTGTAGTAGCCAGGTGTGGCAGTAGCCAGATGCACACTTCCTGTCCAAGCACTCGGAGATTGAGCTGGATTGCCATGAGTTTAAGGGCCGCCCAAACTACATCGCAAGACCTTATCTCAAAACAATCAAGGGGCTGGGGATTTAGCTCAGCAGCAAGTGCCTGCCTGGCAAGCGCAAGGTCGTGAGTTCGATTCCTAGTACCGGAAGAAAAACAAACAAAAAACAAACCTATGGTAGCCAAGCATGGTGGCACATACCTTAGGGAGGCTGAGGTGAGGTGGGAGGATCACTGTGAATTTGAGGCTAGTTGAACCTTGTCTCAAAAAAACCCCGAAAAGTCTGTGGTAGGGGTCTTGGAGTCAGCAAAATAGACCCACAGGCCAAATTCAGCCTGGAGACTATTTGGCTAGGGGAGGTAACTAGGAATCAAAGTCAGGATCTTGTACTTGCCAGGCAGGCACTTGTGCCCCTGAGCTATATCCCTGGCCCAAGGAGACTATTCTTGAAATACTGTTTTAACACAGCTACCCACCTCATTTATATCATGTTCTTGTATCTTATTGCTACAATCAAACTGAGCACAGTAGTCCTCTCTTATCCACAGGTAACACATTCCAACAACCCCAATGGATGCCTGAAACCTTGGATAGTTGTTATGGCTAATATCTAGATGTGCCCACAAAACCTCATGCATTCATAGGTGGTGCTTTTGGGATCAGGAGTGTGTGATACTGGTTAGTTCACTGATTGATTTAGTATAGTTCTGGGTTTGGGTGATGGATTTACTGAACAGGAAAGACCCGCTGTGGATATGGGTGGCACAAGCCAATAGGCTTGTAGCCTGGATGGAATAAAAAGGGAAAGAAGGAAGACTGAACCTAAACAGTGTGAACTGTTCCCTCTGCCATGCCCCTCTGTGTTGGAGCCAGTGGACCATGGACTAAAACCCATACAGACTATGAGCTAACATAAATCTTTCCTCGTTTAACTTCTGGGTATCACGTATTTTGTCCCAGCAACAAGAAAGTAAGACAAGTGTCCAGTCTTATCCAAGCTATATTCTTCCTATATATAGTACATACCTATGATAAAATTATAAACTGGACAGAGATTAACAGTAATAGAACAATTATGACAAAAGACTGTGCACTCATATGCAACCACAGGGGTTGCAAACTAGTTTTCCAAATCTACAGATAAATGTATTTGGCCTGTATGCTTTCAAAATTACTTGCCCTCAGCCAGGTGTGGTGGTGCACACTTATATCCCAGCATTCAGCCTGGGCTACATAGTAAGACTGTCTCGAAAAAAAAAAAGTTACTTGCCCTCATTTAAAAATTAAAGGCTGGGTCAGGTTGTGCGTATCTGTAATCCCAGCATTTAGAAGGCTGAGGCAGGAAGATCATGAGTTCAAGATTAGGCTGGACTACATAGCAAGACCTTGTCTCAAAAAAAAAAACAAAATTTTTTTTTATTTCAGATATTTCACAATTTGGATTTCTGGTTCCTTACCAAAAGATCTGATAATGCAAAAAAAAAAAAGAAAGAAAGAAAAGAAAAAGAAAAAGAAAAAGAAAAAGAAAAAGAAGAAAAGATCTGATAATGCCAGGGCTATATTTCCATATAGAATCAACTGGCTGGAGTACAGAAGCACTTTTCTAACTCCTATGTCTCACTTCTATCAGTTACCACTTCAGTGGTTGGGTTTGCAACTCCTAGACCTCTATCTTCTAATATGGTAGACACATTGCTATTTGAATGTGTGACTTAAATAAAATTTAATTCAATACCTCAGTCACATTATCCCATTTCAGTTGTTCAACAGTCACATATGGCTACCAGCTAGCATAATGCGTAGTTTTAGATACCCTACCAACTGGGACAGGAAATGATTTCCTTTTTGTGTTGTGTGCTGTGGCTTGAAGACGAGGCTTTGTAGATGCTATCTCTTGAGCAATATACATTACTAGTAAGGTTTTTGGTTTTTTTTGTACCAGGAATTAAACTCAGGATCTTGCACTTGCCAGGCAGGCACTTGTGCTGCTGAGCTATATCCCTGGCCTCACACACATTACTAGCAGTACTGAGCCTCATCACTATTTACTGTTTTTATGGGACAATATGCCAAGTTCTAACATGATGCAGGAATGTGGGTAGTTCATTAGCTCTAGCTGTTTTAAATCTGGTTACCTTCTGTTATATACGGTGGTTTTCTGGGTGGTAGTGAGGATTGAATCCAGGAGCCTTCATGCTGAGCTATACCTCCAGTCCTTTTTAAAAATTTTTGAAAGTGTCTTGCTAAGTTGCTAAACTGTCCAGGCTGGCCTTGAACTTATGATCCTCTTGCTTCAGCTTTCCTATTAGTTAGTATTATAGACTTATGCCATTCTTCCTGGCTGTTCAGTCTTTCCATGATTTTAACCTTGGCAAGTCAGAGTTCTTTTATAAAATGCTCAAATTGGTAGAATATCCTTGTTTGACTTGTCTAATTTTTTTTTTTTCAAACTATTGGGGATTTTTTTTTTGGAGACAGGGTCTTGCTTTGTAGTGTAAGCTGGACTTGAACTATGTAGTCCAGGCTAGCCTCAAACTTGCAGTGATCGTTCTATCTCAGCCTCCTAGGTGCTGGGATCATGGGTGTTCACTACCATTCCCAGTGGGTACTGGGGACTGAACACAGAACTTTTATCATGGTAGGCAGGCACCCTACCACAGAGCTACATCCCCAGCCAGATTATGTATTTTGCAACAATCACAATGATACTGCATTCTCAATGCCACCTCTGGATGGCATAGCTATCTGTCCAATGTGTGATATAAGCTTTCATCTAAAATTATTTGCTAGGTTTCACCAGTATACTTTCTCCTTTTATAATTATGTAGTATCCTCTTCACCAAAATTTCAGCTAATTCATTTACATTATGGATTAATGGATTCATATTTTATTCAGTGAGTAAAATCTACTATTATTTTTTCTCATCTGGTTGACAGGGTCTCATGATCTCAGGCTGGCCATAAACTTGAGGCAATCCCACAACCCTATACTTTTCTCACTTTTAAAAAGGAGTCTTTATGGGGATGCTACATGCCTGTAATCCCAGCACTGAGGGAAGCTGAGACAGGAAGATAACAAATTTAAATCCCACCTAGGCAACTTAGCAAAACCCTGTCTCAAAATAAAAGAAAAAGGGCTAGGGATATAGCTCAGTGATAGAACACCCCTGGGTTCCATCCCAGTACCAGAAAAAATATCTAAATTAGGAACTAAGGGCCAGGGATATAGCTCAGTGGCATAAGCACCTGCCTGGCAAGCACAAGGTCCTGAGTTCGATTCCCAGTACCAAAAAAAAAAAAGAACAGCTGGGTGTGGTGGCACACTCCTGTAATTCCAGCACTCGGGAGGCTGAGGCAGGAGGATCATTGTAAATTCAAGACCAGCCTGGACTACAAAGTGAGCTTGAGGATTATTGAGCCTGAACTGCATACTAAGAGCCTATCTCAAAAAAAAAAAAAAAAAAAAGGAACTAAGGGTGTAGCTCAGTAGTAATTTGGTTGCGAAGCATAGGTTTGATTTTCACTCTGCAAAGAAAAACAAGTAAAAATTCCTAGCACTGAAAAAACAGAGAAGAGAAGGAGGGAAGAAAGAAAGAAGGAATGAGAAAGGAAGAAAAGAAAAAAAGGAAGGAAGAAAGAAAGGGAGGGACGGAAGAAAAGTTCTAAATTAGTAAAAAGGTCAGAAGGCAGGGCTGCAGACCACAGGATTTTATTAAGATGTAATCACTGCTAATTACATTAAGCTACTTGCCTAAACCCAAATCCACGAGGTTCACAAATCAGAAACCAATGGCATGTTCCAAACCACAAAGAAAGAGCTTGACATCCAGGTGATGAAAGCTGAATGAGTGTGTCTGCACACTTATTTCAAGCTATTAAAGAGCTTGTGGGCCACCTAGATGGAAAAAACCCAAAAAACAGAATGTCATCAATTGGCAGCTTTGACATCATGGATTACAAGGTTCTTCATAACCTACAACAGTTGCTAAGTGTGATAGTACACTTGGGGGCTGAGCAAGGAGGATCACTGAGAGTTGGAGGTCAGCTGAGCTACACAATGACTTGAAGGCCTGCCTGAATTACATGACACAATGTCTCAAAAATCAATCCATCAGTTAGAAATGGTGGCACACACCTGTAATCCCAGAACTCAGGAGGGTGAGGAAGGAGGATTGCTTTGAGTTAGAGACCAGCCAGCCTGGACTACATAGTCAGTTCAAGGCCAGCCTGAGCTACACAGCAAGACCCCGTCTCAAAAAAAGAAAGAGAAAAAAATCAACCCATCAATCACAGACCGACAACAATACTGGGTCCTTTCCCACCAGCCCCTTTCTGCATTTGAGCTCCAGTGAACGCCCCTCAGTTACCTAAATCTATCCCTTCTACCTGAAACTCTATCTTCATTTAAAACATTTCTAGTAAGTCTTCCCTAAATAAGCCCCTTTCACCACACAAATCTGTCCTTTATCTTCCCCACAAAAATTTGTACCTCTCATCACAATGACATCAATATTACATTCACTACTGGGGATTGAATCAAGGGCCTTCACACTAAACTACATCTCCAGCCCTTTTTTATTTTGAGACAAGGTCTCCCTAAATTGACCAGGCTGCAAGTTGCAATCATCCTGCTCAGCCTCCCAGAGGATTACAGGTGTGCACTTCCACACACAGCTTAATACTCCATATTAATTAAATATGCCAAGCGTTGTGGTGCAAACCTATAAACCCAGCACTTGGGAGATTTAGGCTGGAGGATCACTGAGAGTTCGAGGCCACCCTGGGCTACATAACTGAATTCAAAGCCTGCCTGCACTACACAGTGAGATCCTTTCTCAAAAAAAACCAGAACCATATTAAATACTTATAGAAGTCCTACTCTATATCAGGTACTATTTAAGAGCTGAGAATTATAACTATAAATAAGACATCTCTGTTTTTTATAAAACTTAGAAATTAATAACAGAAATATAATAAACACATAAATAGAGCAACCTCTTTTCTTTGCGGGGGGGGGGCGGTGGTGGTATGGTGCACCATTCTTGGAGGTAATGTATAATAGCAGGTCAATGTACGAAGTGGACAGAGCAAGCTCGTATTCCATCTCCTTGGTCCAAAAATCGATTTAATCTATTGTCCTTGAAACAGATGTGTCAGATTAAAACTGGTATGTAGGGACCAGGGATATAGCTCAGCAGCAAAACGCTTGCCTGGCAAACACAAAAGTCCTGAGTTTGATTCCTGGTACCAAAAAAAAAAAAAAAAAAAACCAACCCCCAAAACAAAACAAAACAAAAACTGATATGTACAGATACTATACATATCTTAGGCAAAAGGCCAACAAGCAGTAAAAATAAAGTAACTTCTCACAGTAGTAAATGTTCGATGGAAAATAAAATGGGGGAGGGCATGAAGGGACTCAGGGGGTGTCACTGAATGCCATCCAGAAGTGATACCTGAAAGATTTACCACAGTTTAATCATTTTTCGGGGGGCTGGGAATTTAGCTCAGCGGCACAGCGCCTGCCTGACAAGCGCAAGGTCATGAGTTCGATTCCCGGTACCGGAAAAAAAAAAAAAAATTTTTTTTTTCTACTTCTGTCTTTTATGCTGGACCATAAACTCAGTGAAGGGATGTTATCTAACTCCCATATCCTAAGCCACTGTTTAACTCATAAAAGTGTTTAAAAATATTTGCTGAAGATTATAAAATGGGAGGCAGTAAATACCAGGAGCGGATGTAATAAGGGTAACTGGCCTATTTCAGACATTTCATATAAATACTAGAATCCTACAGTATGTATGACTCTGTGCCTGGCTTATCTCATTTAGCATGTAGCATAATGTTTTTTGCTTTTACAGTACAGTTACTGGAGATTCAACCCAGGACCTTCAAAATGAACTGTACTTACAGACCTTTTCTTTTATTTTTTATTTTGAGAGACAGTCTCGCTAAATCACTAAATTGCTCAGACTGGGTTCAAACTTGCAATCCTCCTGCCTCAGCCTCTCATAGTGCTGGTATTACAGGTATATGCCACCACAGGGCTAGTACTTGTTTTTTATTTAAATTATAAGGGATGGGGATGTAGCTTAGTGGTAGAGCACTTACCAAGCACGTGCAAGGCCTAGGGTTCAATACCTAGCACCACCACCACCCCAAAAAGTGGTAAAATATACATTGAATTTACCACCTCAGTCATTTTATAATGCCATTTCTGTGGCATTAAGTATGTACATTGTTCTGCAACTACCAATCTCCAAGACCATTTCATTTTTCCGAAAGTACTGACTCATTAAGCTATAGCTCTCCATTTCCCTTCTCCCTCTAGCTCCTGACTACAAGTCTACTTTCTATCCTTCTGACTGTGGCTACTCCAGATACCTCGTGTGATGATGCAATATTTGTGCTTTGTGACTTATTTCATTCAGTATAATGTCCTCAACAATTACCCACTGTAGCATGTGTCATTCTCACTATGCAGTTCAGACTGGTCTTGAACTCACTGTGTAGCCCAGGCTGGCCTCAAACTTGCATGGATCCTCCTGTTTCCTCCTCCTGAGTGTTAGGATTACATGCCTGCAGCACCACCTGCAGGTCACATGCTCTCTTGACAGGAATTGCCTTTCCTAATAGGTAATGATGTTGAACTTTTTTTTGGCACTGAGGATTGAACCCAGGGTTTCTCATATGCTAGGCCTGTACTTTGCCACTTACTACACCCCCTCTTTTCAGGTATTTACTGGCTACTCAATCAGTTTTGTTTTTGCAGTTCTGGGTACTGAACTCAGGAATGCTGAGCTACATACCCAGCACCTCCTTTTTTAAATTTTGAGATAAGTTCTCAAAATTATGATTCTCCTACTTCAGCCTCCTGAGCAGTGGGATTACAGGCATGTGCCACCATGCTTGGCTCCTAATCAGTTTCAACAAAAGCAACGCTATCAAACTTTACCTATGTATAATTTGTACTATATGAAAGAGGTAGGCACAACATTTTAAAAAAATAAACTTAGTGGACAACTGTGTAAAGACATTGTGAGCACTACAAAATAAAAAGGGAACAAAAGCCAGCTTCCCTATTTAGCAATGCAAGTCATGTCTTTTTTTTTTTTTCTGAATCTGCTTCTATCTGTAAAGTGGGAATAATGATACCTACCCATCAGTGGAAGTGGCAAAGATTAGACAAGATCATTTATGTAAAATGCTATTCCTGACATAACGAGTCCATATTTACTGCTTGCTAATGGGCCTACCCCAGCGTAGAAAGACTGCCAGGACCAAGTGTTCTCTGGCCACTGTAAGCTTTCACTATCCAACTTTGGACTGACTTACACAGTGGTCCCTCGCATGCAAGAAGTCAAAGAGCTCCTCTGTGCAATCCTCTTCTGTCTGTGATCGGGAAGAGACACGTTCATCACAGAGCTCTAGCCGCTCTCGTGCCTTCACACATTTCTCCAGCTGTTCACATTGTTCTCTCACTGTTGTTAGGGGGTCCTGAACCATAAACAAAAGGAACAAAATGGAAACTTTAGGGAAGACCCACTAATCTTATGTTTTGATTAAAACAACCTCCAAAACAAGGTGCTGCTTCTGAATTACCATGCAGAAAGCCAGTAGGCAGAGCCACACTGCTGCTAGAAATGGCAGAGTGCAGTTTCCCACTCAATTCGGATGCTAAGTAGTATGGAAAGGTTTCACATTCCTGCCTTCCAAGGTTGCCAGTGTACACTGAATGCCTCAGTCCTATCTGAAAAACAAGGTGGTAAAGGAACACCCAGCCAAACTTGAAGGAGAGCTATCAGAGGCCTTATCAACAGTTAACACAGCATTATGGAATACATCATGTCTAAAACTTGTTTCTCTTGTCTGAAAACCAGGTCTATATACTCCAGCTGCCTAGCCAGAAAAGCAAGGCTAACTGAAAAGGACTACCTAGAAAATGTTCCTTCCAGAATTATTTCTCTCTTTTTATTTTTGGTGGTACTGGCTAAGCAAGCATTCTTTCACTAAACTATATACCCAGTCCTTTTTTGAGACAAGAGCTTGGTAAGTTGCCCAGGCTGGCCTCCAACTCACTATCCTACCTCGGCCTCACAAGCAGCTGGAATTACAGGTGTGTGACACTGTGCCAGTCTGAGTTCTCCCTTAAACCAAATACAGCAGATGAAGGAATGCCAGGCCCTTCAGATGCTCTCTGCTCCCTGGTATGCTGAAGAGTCTCAAACCCAGAACTGATGCAGCTTTCCATACTCTCACACCCAAGTATTTCACTGCACAGGAAGTTTTTGGTTTTTGTTTTTGAGACAGGATCTTGCTATATAGCTGAGGCTAACCTCAGTCTAAATGATCCTCCTGCCTCAGCCTTATGATTGCTGGGATTACAGATGTGAACCACTGTGCCCAGGTAGAAAATATTAAAGCTTATCCCACCTTCATTTCCTGAAGGTGTAAAATAAAGACTCTTTAAGATGTTCTTAGCTTCATGAAGCTCAATATTTTTGCTTTTACTGAGAATTTCAAACCTAAGGCAGTTCTTACCACTAATTCCTCCTCCTCTTCTTCTTCCTGCAAAGGCAAACAAAATAAATGTCAGCAGCAGTTTTATGACATTTTCTCAATCATAATTACAAATACTGAGAACAGATATTAATCATGTTTTATTTTCTGTATTCTATGACATTTGACATCTTAGTAGCCATAATCATCTTGGAACTACTCCTGCAAAGATAGCACACAACTGGCCTCAGAAGCCATGTTTCATATATAGTGTAATCAGCCCAAAGTCCATGTAGCCAACCACTTCTTTTATGTAAGTTTCACAATATACCAAGCTCTGGGGTGTGCTCAGAGCAGGAGGCCTGAAGAATGGCTCCCCTGTTTACAACATACCCGACAGGAATTCAGGGCCACTGGGACCAAGGCATGCAACTGTGGCTTCCCTGTGACCAGAAGCCCTGCACACAGCCCCGTGCCCTTGCCCACAGTGTCCAACAGACCCTGTGGGGCAAGGCTGGTTTGGGAAGGTTGTTGGGTTTGGGGGCAGTGGCCTGTCCATGTGTAGGAGACCTGAGATATAATGTCTTTGAACTAAAAAAAAAGGAAAAGAAAAAAAATGACTGAATTTCTGGGAGTATATAATGTATGTTGATTATAAACCATTTAATGCAGAAAAATACAATTTTCTAATTATACCCCCTTGAAATAACTATCATTAATATTGGGTGGACATCATTCCTCGCATATGAAGAAGAGCAAGAGGGAAAGAGAGAAGGAAGACAGACAGGAAGTTAGAGAGACTGCAGAAACTCAGAGGTTATAGTGTACTTTCTTAAAGTTTATTAAGTAAACAGTTCACTGGTTTTATGAAGCATTTTACTCTTATTAATGTGCATTATACATTAAAAAAAAAAAACAAAAAAAAAAACAATATACCAAGCTCATATTTCTCCCTTGCTTGAACTACCCAGGGAGGAGCACAGAAAAACTATGGACATGCCCTATAGCCCAAAGGTTACCAGATTACTCAAACTACCCAATCCTAAATTTGACCAAGCTTGCCTATCCTGCTACAGCCATTTCTTCCCACAGAAACCATGACTAGGACCTACACAACACTCCCTAATTTCTTCTACTCACTTCCCCACATAGCCCTGCATTGTGTGGCATACTCTCAGAAACTTAAGTAGTAAATCTTTCTTTCAAAGACGGGGGCTGGGGATTTAGCTCAGTGGCAAAGCACCTGCCTGGCAAGCGCAAGGTCGTGAGTTCGATTCCCGGTACCAGAGAAAAACCAAAAAAAAAAAAAAAAGAAGGGGCTGGGGATTTAGCTCAGCGGCAAAAGCGCCTGCCTGGCAAGTGCAAGGTCGTGAGTTCGATTCCCGGTACCGGAGAAAAACCAAAAAAACAAAACAAAAAAAAAAAAAAAAGAAAACAAAGACAGTTGTCTCCATGTCTGTCACTCTACCATACCTGATACATCCCAAGAATATTTCAAAATGGACACTGCTGTCTTATTTGCATGAGCAAAAATCTATGGCAATTTATAGTTTTGGTCTTTGCAGGGCTGGGGATTGAACCCAGAGCCCTGGACATAGCAGGCAAGCACCATGAGTAGTGCTGGGCTGTGTCCTCAGGCTTCTCAGGCTAGGTAAAGTACTCTGCCGCTGAGGTGTATCTCTAGTCCTATCTATGTCTATTTATCATTTATTTTTGCAGTGCTGAACACTGAACCCAGAGCCTTTACACTGAGCTACATTCCCACCTTTAAAAAAAAAATTTTTTTTATTTGAGACAGGATCTCAATAAGCTACTCACGCTAGCCTTGAACTTGTTGAGTCTTATGAATTTTATTATATTAAACAATGAACGCTTAACAGGAAAAAATATCACAATAGAGTATTGTACTTTTTTTCTTTTTTTTTTGCCTTTTTGGGACAGGGTTTCACTATGTGGCTCAGGCTGTCCTTGAACTCACTTTGTAGCCCAGGCAGGCCTCGAACTCACAGTGATCCTGCCTCAGCCTCCCAAGTGCTGGGATTACAGGTGTGCACCACCATGCCCGGCCTTAGTATTATACTTTTAATATTTATTGAGTGTTTATATAGAAAAGCATCAAAATTTTCAACATCAATTGCTTTCTGGTGTACAAAGTCTAAAAAAAAAACAAATTCCTGCATGAATTACAATGAAAATATCAATAGGACTCTATTAAAAAAAAAAAACTTTACTTCAATTATCACACCTAAGGCAGTCTTCACACATGACAATGGCACGTTCCATACATGCATATCACTTACCCTGACAGCACATGTACTTTGCTTTCCTGGCCTTTTTCCAGCACATACTTGACATGTGGCTGGCCTTGCTATTTTGTCAGGAGGTTCTTACTACGTTATGCATTGTGTAGTTAACAGGAACATAAAATATCAATAAAACAAAGCATTAAATTCTGAATATGTATTGCCCATTTAGAATAAACACCAACCTTTTCACATCAGCTGTGTACTTGCTTACAAAACCTAAAAGATAACATCAGAAATAAATTCTTTTTTTTCCTCGTACCAGGAATCAAACTCAGGACCTCGCACTTGTCAGGCAGGCACTGTGCCGCTGAGCTATATCCCTGGGCCCTCAGAAATAAATTCTTATATGAACTACAATAAAAATACCACTAAAAAAATAAATAAATAAATAAAAATAAAAAAATAAAAATACCACTAACACTCAACAAAAAATTCTCTTTTTTTGAGACAGGGTGTCACTATGTAGTCCAGGCTATCTGGAACTTGCAGCAATCCCCTTGCCTCAGGCTCCCAAGTGCTGGGATTCTAGGCATGCCCACCCGACATCATTTTCACATCAGCTGTGTGCTTACTCACAAAACCTAAGAGATACCAGAAATAAAAAACCTATGTGACCTGCAATGTAAACACAAACAAGTGTGTACCACAGAAATAATCTTTGCTTCAACTGTCACACCAAAGGCAGTCTTCACACATGAAAATCAAGTGTTCCATACAGAAGTATCACTTACAATGACAGCATGTACGTTTTGTTTTCCTGTCCTTTTTTACAGGCCACAGTTGACATCTTTTTCATTTCCTTGTTCTATTTGGGATGCTGCACTTGCCCCTGTGCACCTGTTAGTGCACCAGTGAGATCCATAATTTTTTTGTAGTTTTTCCTCTGCTATAAATGATCTCTTGTGAATTCCAGTCCCAATCCTCTAAGAAAATTTCTCCATGGTATTTTGCACTTGTTATTTTCTTTGAAAACTATCAAACTATTCATACCACACCTGTTTAGGATACAGTAAAACAACCACTGGCCAACACTTTGTATTTCAAGTGACATCATAGTTGCTACATAACTCATCAACATCTGCTCCAGCTTTGGTGATGTAAAAAAGTTTCCATCTCAGGCTTCCGTTTTGCCAAGGTTTGCCTATCAATATTTTCATTATTGTTCAGTGTCGACATCAGCAGTACCAGTTTGTTTTTCTTTGCCATACAGGAGGTCCATGTAAATCTTTCTGAAATCCAAAGACTGTACTATACAATTCTGTTTTGAAACTGCAACATTTCATTTGGAATTTCTGCTTTGTTCCTGCATATAGCTCCTATGCTGGTCAAATGTAACATCAATTGGAAACTGATCAACTGTCCAATGTCACATTCCCATTAGTTTGGGAAATAGGAGCAATAAATCTGTTCTCAGCATCATTTGGTTTATTACTGTATGAATAAGGACCTGACAGCTGAATTCTGGGATGATAACAAGTCTTCACATCTACAAGGGCTTTTTTTTGTGTGTGTGTGGGGGGGTGTCCTTTTCCAGATAGAGTTTCACTACACAGTTCAGGCTGGCCTTGAACTCACTTTGTATCCCAGGCTGGCCTTGAACTCAGTGATTCTCCTACCTCAGCCTCCTAACTGCTGGGTTTACAGGCAAGGGCATAAGTTTTTATGCCATATTTTGACCCACTGCTTTTCCATGTCTTTCACACTCCTTCCATCACCAGGAAAAATCCCTGCTAAGTATAGTAGACCTATGCATGCTTTCAGTTCACCTAGTAAGGTGTCATAATTAATACATTTTTTAAAATATGGCTGTTGGTATATCCAGAATGTTTTACTTGCATTTCTGCCTTTGTGTATTTTACAGCCTCTTGTTGCATTTCGTCTGTTAGAATTTCTACCACTGAATAGCAGTTTGGTCATTCTGTCCAATACCTTTCACCCCTGCCAAGATCCTCATTATATTTTTGGACCTCGTTGTAACACTGGATCCTCCCATTTGGTTGCGTGGTCATTTCACATTTTGACTAGTCAAATATGAACTCACATTGCTGTTTTCTTCATCATCTGAATCAAGGTCTGCATTCTTTGTGTCTGTATCCGTTCATTCTTGCTCCATTTCACTGTCACTGAACTTTGGCTCACGTGGCCAAGGTCAAAGTTGTTGTCACTGTCATCATCATCATCATCTACCCTCACCACCCTTGTTATGAAAACATTCATTTTACTATAATGGATCATCTGCATCACCCATGCATGAGTAATCTGATGATTCACCTTTGACCTCCTTCAAAACTTGTAAATCTAATCCATGTGCCATTGTACTGAATTGGGCTACTTCTACCAGAAAAAAAATCAAAAGAAAACTTTTTTTTTTTTTTAAACAAATCCTAGAGTGGCGTGGGTGTATGAGACCTTCTGTGATGCTCAGGTAAACATACACAAAAATTATTCCACAGAGGATAATGTGGAGGTAAAGCCAGGTTTGACACTTTTGGACAGGTGCACACACCATGCCTTTTCATAGCAAATGGGTAAACACCAAGATTGCTTCCTGCAACCCTCAGGCAAAGTACTAAGACACACAGCTGGCTACTATTATGCTAAAGTAAAACTCTATCCTAGAAAAGTAAGAGGTGTTTATGTCGCACTCTCTATTATGCTTGAAGGGTTTAAAGGAATGATCTTGGTTTAGGTATAATAAACAGTAGTTGGACATTTTCTCATAGAAATTCAAGCTGCTGGATATTTATATGGGACCTACAGAGCTTAAAGTATTCTGGCTAGACTTAAGTCCAGTATTGCCAGAAATAGCTAAATTCAGCCTTTATTTCCCAAACCAAGTACCAAGTTGATAGGAAAAAATATTTTTCTAGACTCTGAACTTGAATTTGCAATATGAAAATGGCTAAACCTAAACTCCTCTTTAGCCAGAGCTTAATTAGATAAAGATGGTTATGATCACTTCTTGGGCTTTTGGCCAAGATCAAATAAATGTAAAGATCATCGCAACAGTGCTTTCTGGCTTACAGATCAATATGTCAATAAGCATACCAAAGGTCCACACAGCTCCACTTATGAGCTTGGAAACATCTGGTCCTAAATATTTACTTATGATTCAAGTGCACAACCTCAAATTCAGTCTCCTTTCTTCTACAGGGAGCATTATAAAAACATTTCCCATAGGAGCATCAGCGTAAGATTAAATATGGGGCATAGAGAAGCCTGATCAGTATCTCAACAATCTGTCAGAAATAAGGTGGTGCCTGCCTATGCATGCAGGTGTCCATTCAGAGTAAGAGAAAGAAAAGGTATGTAAGGAAATAAAAACAAGTTCAACAATTATTGTTTTCAAAATCCCATACAATCTGTTTCACTGTCTATCATCAGGAAAAGGACCAGCTTGCACACAAGCTGGAAGTGAAGGATAGGGCAGGTTCAACTGTAACCCGAGCTATTTATTCTAACAATTGGTAAAGGTTTCTCCTAAACATAAGGATGCTATTTAGAATGTAACATATGGGGCCGGGGATTTAGCTCAGCAACATAACGCCTGCCTGGCAAGCATGAGGTTGTAAGTTCGATTCCCCGTACAAAAAAAAAAAAAAAGTAAACAAAAAAAAAAAAAAAAAAAAAAAAAAAAACAAAAAAGAAAGAAAGAACGGCAAGTGTGAAGTCATGAGCTCGATTAATTCCCCGAAAAAAAAAAAAAAAAAAGTAAATTCTAGTTTTTCATTAAACTAGCTATCTTTTAAAATTCATTAAAAATTTGTACTGAAAATGTTTTCCCAAAAACAATGAAAGGAGGACTGGGAACAGAACTCAGTGGTAAAGCACGTACTTAGCATATTGGAGGCCCTGGATTCAGTCTAACACACATCCCCAAAACACAAAACAAAAACTAAAATCACATTATGCCTAAGGCAAGAAACCAGAAATTAGTATCCTGTATATCATTTCCCTACTAGCAATACTACAAAACTGATCATTTTGTGTCATAAATCCAAATATAAGGCTGAACTTGAATGCCTGGTGATCCTCCTGCCTCAGCCTCCCAGGGACTGGGATTAGGATGTAAAATTTCCGACCAATGAGAAAAACCAAGGTCACGCTGAATGAAAAGACTTAATCCCCAAGAATGATAGGTCCTTCAGGAAATGCCCCAGTTCTCCTAATTTTAAAATTGCTTATTTTTTTCTATCTGTTTCTGCCGTGGTAGGTCTTCGTTGAATTTTCTGAGATTGACTCCACTTCTTTCTGATGACTTACATAAGTCTAAAAACATTAAGGGATAAATAAGATTCCAACTATCGTCAACTCATAAGCCCAGAATGGCTGCCATGAAGTGAGCAGAGGACATATGAATATGTAGGAAATGAGACTGTAAATAAAACACTAGTCGCTTTGAGGTCTGTGTAGCACCCTAAGAGTCCTGAGAACCATGCTGCCTGGGCCACACCATTTTGTGAGCTACGAGTGCTCAAATATTCAACCTCTCTGTGCTTGCTGCCTCATCTGTTAAAATGGCAGTAATAGTAGGACCCCATATCTCACAGGAATATCGGTAGATTAAGTGAATTAGTATACATAAAACACTCCATAGCCTCCACGGATGTGTGATTCCGGACCTAAGCTGGACCAAGGACTAACTGCCCCACAAACCTCCCAAAGTGGGGCCTCAGAACACCTGACTGACTGAGAACACAAACGGTACCACTCGTACCAAAGTTTAATCGGTACAGCATTTTCGCTTTCCTTAAACCGTCACCACATTCACAGAACGGGGAAACCGAGGCCCAGAGAATTCCTACTTGTCTGCCTACCCAAAGTAACTGGCCCTATTCTGGAGAACGGTGGCGGGAGCCAGCAGCTCTCCCGACCCTGGAAACCCCAGGCCGCAATCCCGGACTAGGAGGGCCCAGGGGCACGTTTTGGCGCGTTTGTCCTGGGCCACAGGGCAGTGAACAGGACTGAATCGGCTGCCTTGCCTCACCTCTTTAGGATCTCCGGATCCAGTCAGCATCTTTTGGTCGTCTTCCAGTCCCATGTCCGGCCACGTTTCTGGACACAACGCTAGCAGCAACAGCGGCACCTATTCCACTTCAGGATCAAGAAGGACTAGTAAGGGTCACTCAGCGGATATCCGGCGACCTGGCCGGAAGTGCGGCATACTAGTCGCAGTCGGCGAACACCCCCTCGGATTGGCATGTACTACTCGCTAAAGGAAGAAGGTAGGGGGAACTGGTATTTGCACCTGCAGAGATTTTGCTAAGAAACGTTCCTCTAGTTACTCCAGACATAATTACACTGATCTAGGATTATGTTTAAAATATATTAGCACCTCAGAGACTTGAAAAATATGTTAATGTGTTTAACAGTCCTTTAGCACACTTCCCATCCTTCCCCATATTGCTTATGGAGCCGTCCTAACTGCTGACCTTTTCAAGATGGCCGTCCGCGAGCGCCACCTTCGGGCTCGCGCACCTCCCCAAGATGGCGGCGCCCGAGGCCTGGCGCGCCCGGAGTTGCTGGTTCTGTGAGGTAGCGGCGGCAACGACCATGGAGGCCACGTCCCGGGAGGCGGCGCCAGCGAAGAGCTCGGCCTCGGGCCCCAGCGCTCCCCCCGCCCTGTTCGAGCTGTGCGGGCGGGCGGTGAGCGCCCATATGGGGGTTCTGGAGAGCGGGGTGTGGGGTAAGTCGCGGGGTGAGGGGCTACCTCTGGCACCGAGCGGGGGCGGCCCAGCAGCCGGGGGCTCGGGGGGCGAGGCCGAGAGGCCCGGGGCAAGGCCCAGCCCCGGGCACTGGAAGCCGAGCTGTTGGGCCGGAGCGTGGATTCTGTACTGTCAGTGGTGGCGAGAGTAAAGGCTGAGCTCAGAGGAGCAAGCGGACTCGCGCCGCGGCCCGGCCGGGGGTCCGGGGGGAGGCCAGCAGGCCCGGTGCGGGGCACGGCTG